GACTAACGACAGGATTGCCGTCACTGTGTATAACCCGATCGCCCGACCCGTCGAACATTATATTAGGGTACCGGTGGTCGACGCCAAGTATGAGGTGCTTGATGCCAAAGGACAGGCAGTTAAGTCTTTGGCTATACTCCCGGTGTCAGACGATGTCCGAAAGTTGCCCGAACGTAATGGTAGTTTAGGGACCCATGAGTTGGTATTTAGTGGGCAGATACCCGCCCTGGGGTTCACGACATATTTTGTTGAGAAACAAAAGGCTATAATAGGTAATTTAAGAAATGATCTACTCACTTTAAAAAATTAATTAATTAAAAATATATGATTTAAACATGATAGTGTTATTAGTATAAACTTCTAGTTTACTAATAATTTTTTATTTATTATTTTTAAAATTTAATTACGGTACTCAAACTAGCTTGATTAAATAATATTTATTAATTTTCCAATTCACACACATATTTTAATAAGAAAATTTATCATTAATTTTTTACTTAAGTTTACTAAATTAATTAAATATACATTACTAATAATTATTTCTAAAATATCTAGATACCCATACAATGGACAATAATCAACAAGCTCAGGCCCCGATAGACATGAAAGGTAAATCATTTACGCTGCACATCAACGAGACTACCGGTGCCATCGAGTCCATAACCGTCAACGGGGCGACCCATAAATTACGTCAATCATTCAAATGGTACAAATCGGTGGGCAATCAGCCGCCGCTCGAGGACTCCGGGAGCTATAACTTCTGTCCGGACGGTAACGCCCGCGACTACGGCACCCAAAAACTTGTGGCCCGGCACACGTCAGGGGGCGTTCACGAACTGAGCCAGGTGTTTGCCGACTACATACACCAAACAGTACGTACCTATGAGGACAGGGATTACATTGAGTTTGACTGGACAGTAGGTGGTATACCTATCGTCGATAAGATCGGTAAAGAGATAGTCACGCGGTTTGAGTCGGATTTAAAGTCAGATGGCGTGTACTATACGGACGCCAACGGCAGGCAAACCATACGCCGGAAGTTTAACCCGCAGGCGAAGATTTGCGGTAATAATGTGATCGCCGCTAATTGGTTCCCGATTTATAGTCACGTGGCGGTTAAGGATGAGAAACAGGGTAAGTTAATCTCTTGTTAGGTATTTATATGGACAGTATAATAGTTACGGGAGGTTTAGCCATGGCAGTTAGTTGAATACGTTTTTGAAGTACGGTAGACATTCACATTTGACTCAATTATGTAAATCGATTTAGTAATTCATATGTGAATGCCTACTCACGAGTCATTGGTTTGTGTTTGCAAATCATACCATGGTAAATGTGTGAATAAAAATGTTGTACGGACCGTAAACAACATATCCTAAAAATATATTATGTTAACGAAAGTTATAACTATTTTAAATTAATTTTTAAAGATGAACTGTTAGTGTTATTAATATGAACGTTTATCCACCAACGCCTAATAAAAATAACGTTATTTGTAAATCTAAATCCAATGATATTTGCTTATATTATGTTAATAAATAATATAAAAAAAACTTTCCTTGGCCCAATATACTTTCAGGATATGTTGTTTAAGGTCCGAACAACATATTTATTCACAAATTTACCATGTTATTATTTTCAAACACAACCCAATGAGTCGTTAGAAAAGGTTTACAATTAGTTGAATTATGGGATGTATGTATAGAAAGCATTTTATGAAAGTAAACAAGCAAGATAATTTAAAATTGTAATAATTCAGGTCTAGCACTGACTGTCCTAAATGACAGGACTCAGGGCGGTTCGTCGCTAATGGACGGGTCGGTAGAGCTCATGGTTCACCGGCGGCTGCAATATTCAGGCGCCGGTAGTGGCCTAGTCCTCAACGAGACAGGCATCGATGGTAAGGGTTTGGAGGTCAGGGGTAAACACTACCTTTTCCTCCAGCCCATAGCTCAATCACCACGACTTGTGCGCCGTCTATCGGAGCAGCTATTTATGGGACCCATTGAGACGTTCGCGACGTATAAGACTCGTGAGGAATATTCCGGGGAATACTCCACGAGTTTTTCGGGTGTCGGCGATCAGCTCCCGGAGTCGGCCCGGTTGCTAACATTAGAGAAGTGGTCGGACAGGGAGGTGTTGGTGAGGTTTGAGCACATGTACGAAAAGGCCGATAATGTGAGCGACCTTTCAAACGACGTGTCATTTGATATGCGAAAAGTGTTGAAAACTATAAAAATGGTGAATTCAGTCGAAATGAATTTAGCGGCCAATGAGTTGCTATCGGAAACGAAACGTATGGAGTGGCGATCGAAACAGAGTGCCCAGGGTTTCGACATAAGTGGTACCGGTGCCCAAGAGGACGATTTTGTGGTTAAACTATCACCGCAACAGATTCGCACCTATATTGTGACGATTGAGCCTGATTATCATGTCGAACGTAAATACATGAAATTTATTACACGTTTTATTATAAATTCCCAGTTAGCTTAAAATATATTTTATTATATATTGACCTAGTATTGTATTTAAATGATATAATTCAACCCTGCTTTCATATAGCTGTAAACGACTATAATATATAATATATATAATTTATATAATATTCTCATGAGCAATCAAAACTACATTTGTTTTTTTTGGTTTATATCTCTTGAGAACCCACCGGATAAAAAGTTAAAACTATAAATTTGAAAAGATTTAAAAACTAATTAGTATATATATATATTGTGTACTTGGTCAATATATAATACTATTTATTTTAAGTCCGCATAAACTAGCAAATATATTATTTATTTTTACATAAAAATTATGATATCTACTTAAAACTTTCTAAATATATTTATAGCGAAATGTACGCACAGTTGGGTGGAGGCCACACAAACCACAATACCTACCGGCGCTTACGTTGGCGGCTATGACGTCGATAAAACGCCGTTAAATGTGTGCCGTTTTAAAATAAACAATGAGTTAATCGCCGGAAAGGCTGACAAACTCATTGGTTGTGTTGTGACTGTCAGTAGAAAAGAGCACTCCGTAAAGGGGGCCGAAAAGTTTGAGGTACTGGTGGCCAAGGATGCCGAGTGGGTGCCCAGACATGGCGAGGATCCCATACCTGTCGGCGCAATTTTGGTTGGAAATAAGGGGAAGCCTAATACCAATACCTATATAGGAAGGTGCGATCGGTTTGGAGCGGAAATGGTGGGCAAAATTGATTACAACTTTTATTACGGATATAAAGGTGATGAACGGAATGACTGCACTAATCATGAGATACTTGTGTGCGTTTAAATGACTCACCTTGTTTACATTAAATATCTTTATTTTTTAAAGTAATCTTGATCAATAAATAAAATTTTATTATTATACAATGATGTATATTTATTATTGCTAACTTAATATTCAAAAACGTGGCATTAAACAAATATAAATTTTTAAATCACTTTAACCTAGCTTTGCCAACATTTTTTCAGGATTGGCGGACAGAAAGGGTTAGACATTTTTCTGGAGAAGATTTGGAGGAGATAACTTAGACTTTTATCTTGAATATTAAATTTTATTTTTATTTGATTTTCCAATATTTTTTATTAATTTTAATCAATTTATCTGGTAGATAGTGATCTTGTAGAGAAAATCTCACATTTTAAACACAATTAAAACTGTGTTACTATAATCTCCAACATATAGATTTTAAAAATTATGATCCTCCAAAATTACATTAAGATTTAATTGAAGTTCAATTTACTTTTAAACAATTTAATAATATAATTTAATAATTGTCTAGTACTAAATATAAGTTATAAAAATATTTAAATAAATTAAACACTTACCGTTAGAATTTTAGTCAATTTTATAGTTAGCAATAAGAAATTAATGTCATTAATAGTGTTTATTATAGAGGCATATAAAATTGCTTATAAAATTATTTATTAAAATTATATGCTTTCATTAACTAAATTCATAATTTATGTAAAATTATTGCATTATTTCTAAAATATTAGTTAAAAGTAAACATTATATCTAGGATTACAAAAAAGTTTTAAATAATTTAGGTAAATTATTGTAAAGGACTTTACATTGTCTTCCACAACCCCTCTGGAGGACTGATCCCTTTCAGGCCGATTGGGGGAGAATCCTCCAGAATGGAGGTGGTTTGGCAACCCTATTTTAAGCTCTACATTATTTTAAATATGATAATAATTTTATTGTATTCTGTATAAATTATCAATTTTAAGGTTACGCAATGTTATTAAAATATATTATGAACTTTGGAAAAACTGTATTGTACTTGTTAATACAACAATTTTAATGATAATAAACATTAAATGTTTTAGAACATTTTACCAAAAAAAAGTACATAACAATGTTACATAATAAATATAAATTATAATTGTATTTGAATATTGTTACTTGAATGTCATAAATAATAACAAAATTATATGTCTACTATAGTAACATATTTCACAATATTACAGAATATCAATAGGATGCTTTAATATCAATGAATTTAGCTATATTACAAAATAAACAAAATATAAAACGAATGACCCTTGTTGATTTTTAGGAATCAAAGTTATCATTAGACAATGAGCATGGCAGAATCTATGCGTATTTAGCTTATAATAAAATCGACTCGCTACCTGATTATGTTTTTCGCATGTTTTGCCTAGATACTTCGCAAATTACAATAAACTTACGTAAAAATCAGATTGTCTGTAATTATAAAGAAATTAGTTGGATTTATGATCAACATGTTAATTGTGCTGGACACTTGAAAAATATTCGCTGTATATTATACAGTGTATAATATATAACATGCGATAAAACCCAAAAGAGTACAACATGTTAACTATAAATAGATAATATGTTTAACATTTTTAATGAAATTGTCTTTTGTTTATTGAATATTAAAATCAATAATATTTAATTAAATATTTTCGTATATTTCTTATGATGTTTAGTTTAAGTGCTAGTATAATATTAATTGAAAATATCAAATTATTAAAAAAGCTTCTTAATTACATAACCTAACCTATTTATATATTATACAACTCCCAACCCCTTATAAACATGTATCTATCTAAGAATAAGGCATATAGTTATCATAAAATCATAACAAAAATAATATGATTAACTTTTCAACTTGTACGTTTAATCATACATATTTTAGAACGAACATTGATAATTTAACAAATAATTGTGCAACCTAATACTATGGAAAATATAACGGATTTATCTAATACTTTATAGATATTATCACTGGGCACTTTTAATGCACTAAAAATGCACTACAGATAAGTAGACCAGTTTCACAATAATACTAGTAACATAACAGACTTATTACTAGTGCAAATGTACTAGTTCCGTGTGCAAATCATATATAAATAGCATTCATCATACATATTGTATCATAATCATTTTCTAAAATAAACTACCCATGAAACTTTTAATACTACTCTCGGTACTTTTGTGCATATGGGAGGGTGTGTCGGCTAAGTGCGGCTACGATGCCTGTCCGGCTACCAATCCCCATAAGCTCAACATACACCTTATCGCCCACTCCCATAACGATGTCGGCTGGACTCAGACCCCGGACCAATTGTACGACAATCACATCGTAAAGATTTTAGGCACCGTAGTGGAGGAGTTGCTTAAGGACCCGGCACGTAAATACACCCAGGTGGAAATGTATTTTTTCCACCGATGGTGGCTGAGTCAGACTGATGAGCTCCGGGGTGTGGTTAGGAAATTGGTGGCCGAGGGTAGGCTAGTGTTTATTAATGGTGGTTGGACGGTGAATGATGAGGGTGCCGCTCATTATAATAATATTATTGATCAAATGACCATGGGTATGTAGACATTTAGCTTATTAATTTATATTTCAAAGTTTCATAACACTTGTAAATAACTTTTAATAGTACTTAATTTTGTTTATAAAATATGTTTTTGTTATACTTGTATAAATTTGAATTAATTTCATATATAATAATAATAGCAACCAGGGACTTTGATAAATAATAAACAATACTGTGCATAAATTCTACTTTCATATAACAATTGTTAATATATGCTGAAATATGAAAGTAGAGTTCAAAGACTTGTTTTGTATATTTCAAACACAAATATTTAATATAAATAAATTCATAAAAACTGCCATGTATAAATATATTATACATTAAAAAATTAATATCCACTATTTAGGTTTAAAATTCTTAAACCAAACATTCGGCACGTGTGGTAGACCAAAAATATCATGGCAAATCGACCCATTTGGCGCCTCCATCGAAATGGCCTCGCTATTCGGTCTAATGGGGTTCGACGCCAACGTGTACAACCGGGGCGTCCCGAAGGGCGAGTACATATGGCACGCGTCCAATGACCTAAACACCAAGGTGTTCACCACCGTTTTGCACGACCACTACTACCCGCCCGGTGGGTTCAACTTCGAGAACGCCAACGAATCCATAACCGACGCGAATGTCAAGGAGAGGACCGTTAAGTTTATCGACTATTCGCGGAAGTGGAACAAAGATTATGGTAACTCTAGTCACGTGTTGGTTACTATGGGCGGCGATTTTTTCTATAATGTTGCCAGTAAGTGGTACGATAACATGGATAAACTGCTCAAGGAGACTAAGGCTAACCATCCCGATGTCAATATGATATACTCGTCGCCTAATTGCTATATTAAGGCGCTTAATGCGATGAACTTGACGTATACGGAACGGGATGTTGACTATTTGTCGTATTGGGTGGGCTACTACTCTAACAGGCCGGCGTTGAAGTATCAGGATAGACAGACTAATAATATTTTGCAGGTAAGAAATATTATTTTTGAAATAACTAATTTAAAACAGTAAAGTAAAATAATCAACAATATTTTCGAATTAAATATTAGCATTACTAAATTAATCATTTATAATGTTAAACTGTACATAATAATTAATAAATATATGTTAGCTCTGCTTTTATACAATTGTATAAAAATAATATCCAATTGTTTAAAAGCAGAGTTAACATATATTTTTTGAGTACTGTAATACAATATCGATAACTTTTATGAATAGCATAAACTAATTAATTTTACATAACTTTTTATATCTTTTAACAATTTATTAAAGGCGAGCAAGCAACTATCAGTAATAGGGCGCTTAGACCCTGCTAAAACAAAAGCATACCTGGACGAGGCAGCCAATGAGGTGGCTATATTGACACATCACGACGCCATCACCGGCACCTGCCCTCAGACCATATCCAACGAGTACACGAGTCGACTCCAGTCGGGATACGCCGCCAGTAAAGCCGTTATCCGAAAGGCTTTCGAGTACTTGAAGTCGAAAACTGGGGACAAAAAAGTGGTTTTAAGTGACGTTTTCTGCGATGCACTCAATATAAC